AGCGAGAAAAACATGTGGGATGTTCCTGGGGATTGTCTGGACTGATGACAGAGAAACCTCAGTCTTCTCTCGGTTCTGTGAGAAGCGTGCAGCTCTTTCACCCAGCCCTGTGATAGGATGCCAACTTCCGGTCTGCGACTGGCCAGTCTCTCTCTAGCCAAGGTCAGCACAGCTCGGAGGATGCGAGATCCACACCTCTTTAATGCAGCGGCCGACCTCAGCACTGCACAAACCAGACCTGGCGGGGAGCCTGACGTCACCCCCAGCTCTTTCCTCTTGCCCCACCTTAAGGAAGAAAAAGATAAACATGTTTTGCCTTGAGGGTGAATCTGGGGCTTCATTAAACTTTTGGCTGTGACATTTTGATGTTTTCCCTTGAAAATATGATATTTACATGTGTGTCCCAATCCCTGAAGAAGATAAAGCATCCTGACCATTTCTAATATTTTAAAGAATGTCATTGGAATTGAAATATCTTCAGTGCTTTCCTTCCCTCATCAAGAGCATATCGTTCCCCCGCTACTGTGTGCCAGGCCCTGGCCTTGGTGTTGGGGATACAGCAGTGAGCAGAACAGACACAATCTCTGTCCTAAGAGGAGCTTGTGTTCTAGTCCAGGAAGACAGAAACTTCGTAAGTAATGAAGAAAGATAATTTTATATGGTAATACAGGATTTCAACATATTAAAATAGAGGTCATAAGAGCAACTGGTGGGGCTGTCTTCTTTGGGTCATTAGGAGGGTGTTTCAGGAGGTGGCCTTCGGTTAGAGGACAGAATGACAAGAAGGAGCATTTTGGCAGGGGAGACCACAGGGACAAGGCCCAAAGACCCTGAGATGGTGATAAACTTGGTGTGTTCAGGAACACAGGAATGTCATGTGTGGTTGAGGAGCGTTCCCCAAGTCCATGTCCACTCGGAACCTCAGGTTGTGAACGCACGTGGAACTAGGGTCTTTGTAGATGTAATCAAGTTAAAATAAGGTCACACTGGATAAATGTGGACCCTAATCCGATGACTCATGGCCCTATAAGAAGAGAGAAATTTGGACTTGCATGCATGCATGCACGCACAGGGAGAGAAAATGGCCATGTGCAGCCAGAGGCGGAGATTGGAGTGATGCAGCTGCAAGGCAAGAGATGCCAAGGATTGCCAGCAACCACCAGAAACTAGGAGGGGCAAGGAAGGATCCTTCACTAGCACCTTCAGAAGAACCGTGGCCCTGCTGGAACCTTGATGGCAGACCTTGATGGCATTCAGAACTGTGTGGGAATTAATTTCTATTGTTTTAAGTCACCCAGTTTGTGGTACTTTGTTACGGCAGCCCTAGGAAACTAATAATACACCCTGTGATGTGTGTACAATAGGGATGGAAGAGAGGAGAGTGGGAAAGTGGCCAGAGTCTGGGTCATGCAGACCTTGGGGACCACTACAAAGGATTTAAATTTTATTTTTAAGTGAGATGGGAAGATTAATCACTGCGTTTCATCATATTCTTGAATCAAAGACAGAGACTGATATGGAAATGTGAAAGCTTTGGTTGCGAGGCATCACTTACCAGGTGAAACCCGTCACTGGAGACACAAGAATATCACCCAGTGAGAACGAGCTGTAGGAACCCCTCCTTAGGACGTCTTTGGCCCAAGGAAAGGAGGTAGGTGGGAGGCCACCTGCCGAGACCCTCAGATGTGCAGCTTGTTTTGAAACTGGTTATTACCTTCACATTCTCCATTTCCACGGAAGCGAGGCTCCATCTCGCCCCGCACCTGTACAAGTGTCTGCTGCTAATTAAGAGAGAGACAGATGGAGGAAGGTATAGTTTAATTTTACAGCCCCAGTTTCTTCAAGGCAATTAGGTGCATTGGAAGGAAAGTACCTTTTCTTTCTTTTTTCCTCTTTTTTAAATGAAGAAAAATCAAACTGGAGAGGGCTGGTGTTGTTGAAAGGCTCACACATCTGTTTCCTGGTTGGTTTGTCAGCCATCTGCCCACGAGGTACTGGGGCTGATTAGGTTAATGCATTTATTAATGGGGCCTACAAGACTGTTCAATGAATCTGTGATTTCTTTGACAAGGAGCTTTTTAATATACCGAAACAGGGACCACACTGCACAAAGCCGAGAGTGGCCAGGTAAGCATTTCTTCCCCTCGCCTGGCTCCAAATCAGAGGGGACAAGAAACATTACGAAAAAGGGATTTCATGAAAACTGCATTTCCAGTTTATGGGAATGGTTTATTCGCCGAACCTCCAACTACCTCCTTGTTGTTGAAATAATCTTGAAAATATCTCTTTGGAGGACAGTTTCATGCCCCAGGCACCAAATCTGTGCCTGTGCTGCCCTTCTCTAAAACCCTTCAGAGTTCCATGAGGGAGGATGCTGAGACAGATCGGTCCATGTGAACGATATCATCTTGCCTATAGGACACAAGGTGATATGAGGACACCTTGCTTCTTCACTCTACCACACAGACACACTTTCAGTTTCCTGAAGCTACTCTTCTCCTTCTCAATTCAAAGCTTTTGCAAATGCTGTCATGTATCAGTTATCGACTGCTGTGTAACAAACAACTCCAAAGCTTAGTGGCTTAATGTAGCAACCATTTACTGGGATCATGATTTTGGATCTACTGGACAGCTGTTCTGGTTTGAGCTGGATTGGCCACTTTTGACTGGACTTGCTCTATATCTGTGGTCAGCTGATGGCTATAAGATCCAGCCAGAGCTACCTGAAGGTATAGAATGTCAAAACCAAAAGGGTGCCACCTTAAGCAATTCAGGATATTTCAGGAATGTGTGCTCTTCACATCTTAGTGGCAGATTCCAAGATTCCTTTTGGCTTTGACATTCTATACCTTCAGGTAGCTCTGGAATTTAGAGAAAGGGGAACTTTCTCTGGAAAGACTATATCAGTCAGGGCTATTTAGATTACAAGGAATAGAAAGCCAACTTAACCTGTATTTCACCTAGGAAGTTAATGTGTGGCTTCCAGGGGTGTTATTTTAAGAAGGAGTCTGTGTGGAGGCCAGGCCTGCCAGGAAAGAGTGCTGTGACCAATGAGTGATGTCTACCATGGACACATCAGGAGCAAGTGGGACACATTTTGGTTTCAGTTCTAAAAACAAAGCTTTTCCTCTATGGCCTTTCAAATATTGTTGACTGAACTTAGCTTCTACCTTGGCTCAGCCATCAGCTATGGGTAACCTTAGCTCCATCGTTTTATGAGCTTGACTGTTTCCTAACTTGTCAAGCAGGAGTAATAGCTGTCGTCTTTTCTAACTTTGTTGGTGAAAGGATCAAATGAGAAAAGAAACATGGAACTATGACGGTCTCCTTAAGTTTATATATATTTGCACATGCAACACTATGGATGTTAAAAGTGTGCATGAAAGAACAGCAAATATTTCTGGTCTCCTGAGAGATGTAAGTTCAAAAGTTTATGGTTAAGAAATTAATTTAAAAAGTGTGTAGAGAATCTTATCATAAAAGAATTCCAAGAGAAAATAAAGGGAAGTCATTTATTTTATTTTATTTTGTTAAAAAATAGAGAAATAAGGAAAGAAAGAAAGAGAAGTAAAAAAGGAATGAAGGGAGGGAGGGAGGGAAGATGAAAGGAAGGAAGAAAGGAAGGAAAGATGGAAGGAAGGAAGGAAGGAAGGAAGAATGCAGCAGAGAGAGTGGTGAAATTGAGTGGAAATTGGTATAATGCTTTTGCAAACTAGTTGGCAATATGTATCAAGAGACTTAACAATGTTTATACTCTATGGCCAAATAATTTTGCTTTTGATAATCCAGATCAGAGTCAGCAAAATTTTTCTGGATAGCCAATATTTCAAGCTGTGGAGGCCACAAAGTTTCTGACACAAGTACTCAATTCTACCACAGCAGAGCAAAAGCAGCCATAGACCACACATAAATCAATATGTATGGCTTTGTTTCCAACAAAACTTACAAAAATAGGTCATGGCCAGATTTGGCCTGTGGGCCATAGTTTGCCAATCCCTGACATAAACTAAGAAAATATTTTTATAATTATTCTAAATTTTAAATATAAAGAGAAGTATAAGCCAAAACGTTCTCATCTCAGCCTTATTTGTAATAGAAAATATTGATACAACTGTTCATCCATAGAAAGACTGATTAATTTTGATAGTTCTGCTCAATGAATTATTTTGTAGGAATTAAAATGCTGTTTGTTAGTAATTTATAACAACTTGGAGAAATGCTTGATAGAATGTTACACGAACGATTGAAACAAATTTATTTATAATGATATTGGTGATGAACACCTAAGCACTTTACGCACATTATATCATTTAACTCTCCAAAAAACCCTATGAAGTTTGCTTTTTTATTTTATTGTTACTACTTTCCTTATGCAGAAGCTGATGGTAATAAAAGTTCAGCATTTAGCCAAAGTTACGCGGCCAGCAGAGTTGGGACGTAAACGTGGGTCTGCTTAACTGGAGAAAAGCCAAAGCAAAAGCAAGCGCATAAACCAAGAAAAATCCTACCTTAAACTCTGTTTAGTAAAAAGACCAGAAGAAACTACACCCAAAAGTTGACATCGGCTGTCTTGATTCACGGGTGATAGATTTGAAGATTTCATAACATGTTCAGTATTTTCTGTACTGTGAATGTGTCATTTTAATAATGAAGAAGCAACACTTGGATTTTATAGGAAAGCCAAGGGTGGCAGAATGCTAGGTGGAACCGTGGTGGGAGAAGTGTCTTTTGGGGGTGGGGGGATCTAGAGATTCCCTTGGGGACGTGCCCTTAACCCTCTTGGTCCTGCTCTTATTTGTGAAAAGCACATGGCGCTGCCCTTCCCTCTGTTGTGGTCCAGGTGGAGTTTCTAGTGTGTCTTGTTTGGACTGTTGGCCCATTTTTATGCTGTTCTCTCAGGTTGGCCTGCCAATCCCTAACTGTCTCTTTCTCTCTTCTCTCTCTCTCTCCCTCTCTCTGCTCCCTCCTGCCCTACCTTGTCCACCTGTCCCACTGCCCAGCCGACAAGGTCAATGATGACTTCTACTCCAAGCGACGGCACCTGGCTGAGCTGGCCTCCAAGGGGAACTTACCTCTGCACCCCGTAAGAGTGGAGGACGAGCCGCGGGCCTTCAGCCCCGAGCATGGTCCTGCCAAGCAGAATGGACAGAAGTCCCGCACCAATAAGATGCCCCCGCACCCCCTGGCCTACAACTCCACCGCCAACTTTAAGGGCTGGGACCCCAACGAGCAATCTCTGCGGCGGCAGGCGTACGGCAACAAGGGCAAGCTTGGCACAGCCGAGTCGGGCTCCAGCGACCCCTTGGGAACTCGCACCCAGCACTACCCACCCCCACAGCCATACTTCATCACCAACAGCAAAACAGAAGTGACTGTCTGAGCATTCACGACAGGGAGCACCCTGGAGACCACACTCAACTGAGAGGCAAAAAATAAATCCTGGCCACACCCTCCCTGTCCCCCGCTCCCGACACACACACCCACACACCCACCCTCAACGAGAACCGACTCTAAACCTACTGGTGACACGGAATCGTGCTTTTCCTGGGTCATGCCGAACACGTGTCGGTGGGCAGCTGAGGAAGACTAAAGCATGGACATTCAGCAATACAGCAAAGGAGAAACTGAGGCACGCTCTTTCAACTTCAGGCCCAAGGTGGCCAACTCACATGCCCAAAACGATGGGGCTAATTTTTCTTTTCTTCCTAACTTGAAACTGAAATCCATGATTAAAAAAAAAAAAAAGTAGCACAATTTAGAGAAAGTGTCCATTTGAGCACATACACAATTTACCACTTGCTGTCTGTTTCTGGGTAAAAAGAGCCAGGGTGAAAGGGGGTGTAGAGAGGTAGGGTGGACACAAGAGAAGAGTGTATTTGAGAAGAGGAGTTGTTTGGGGAGGAATTTGCCCATATCATAAGCATTTTTCTAATCCCAAGAAGGAGTGACATGAATGCCAAATTTTGAGGAGTATCAGACAGTAACTGGACCCCAACCATTATATTTATAATACTTTTCATATCTTCAATGTCGAAAGCAAAAAACAACACACGCTCAAGCTCACAAAAAACAAATAGACCCTGAACCCACCGACAGTGCTGGGAAGGAAAAAAAAAAATGTTTTCGAGAACTCCTATAAAGACCATGACCGTGGAAATGGGAGAGACAGGCATTTATGGCGGGGAGAGGGTCCAGAGAGTATGAAATAACTTTTTAAAAAAAGAGAAATAGAATATAAGCCCACAACAAAACAGACAAGAACAGCAAAATTAATTTTTGTCCAAAATCTTCAAGACTTAGGAAATCAACAAAGACATCAACAACGACAAAAATCAACAAGTGGAAACATCCACAGGCGGTGAAAGGGGACTCCCTGGAAGCCTCCAATTTCTGGATTTCACCTGAAACAGCCACAGAAACAAGTCCTCTATTAACTGTCCATCCCCGACGTCCCTTTTTCCTTCAGTGCGTTGCCGCCGCCGCTGCCAAACTTCAACTGCTTTGGACTGAAAATGTCATAAGCGTGGGTGGTGCCTTCAATGTGTTACTGTTGTTTAATGACAGTCTTGTTCCCCAAGTGCAACCTGTGTTCTTTTGGCCTTCCTCCGTCCTGTGTTTCTGCAGTAGTAGATGTTTCTATCCTTCCTTTGTAGGTGAGCCTACCCCGTAACACCCTCTGAGGGGGCTGCTGCAATGTCGGGGTACCTAAAGACGAAGACCTTCCACTCCCCACATTGTCGAAACAGGTTCTTCCACTTTCCAGCCTCCCAAACCTGTCAGACATTTCTGGGTCCCATAATTCCCATGGTCCCTCCAAATTACCTGCTCCAGATACTTTAATGTGTTCATCTCCCCATCCCGGAATTTCCTGAGGTTCTTTTTCAGATTGATTCTTACAGTCAATAGCCCTCGGGGTCCCAATAAAGACTATTTTTCCTACAAGTTCTGTTTGTTGAATGGAAGCTCAAAGAGGTGGGTTGCGGGAGAAAAGATTTGCATTTAAGGTGAGAGGTGTTCAACTAGCCCCTTAAAGGTCTTGGCTAATTTTTTAACAGAAACTTCAAGAGCCCCAGAGCTCCTCTGGTGTCGGGAGCTATAAATGGTCTGGTCAAACAAGACTCAGAGCATTTTCTGGAAGCCTGAGCTGCAATGTTCTGCCTCACCTGTCTTTGCACCCTGACATCATGGAATCAGCAAAACCAATTAGTTGTTTGTTCTCCTTCTCACTCCCAGCAGATGCGAAGACCCTGACAATGCATTTTATCTGTCTGAGCCTTAGTCCCCCACCTGAAACATGGGGAATTTGGGCTAGGTCAAGCTTTTGAAGCTTTTTGAAACAGCAAAACCTCTGCCTATTTTTTTTTTAAGTGAAATTGTTCAATGAACCCCCTAGATAAGATCCCCACGTATAAAGGGGCACACGATGCTGGACAAAGTAGGGTTTGGGGATTGAGTGCCCACCTTTTTGGCCTCCTTGCTGAAAACCCAGAGCCCCCCAGTGTGGCGTAAATACCACTGGGCTTGGTCAGTATTTCCTTGACCTTAGTTGGCTACATACCTGCTTTTGGCTACGTACTTTGACATCTCTGTGTAACACTGTCATGACATTTGTATCAAAACTGATTCATTTTTAATACGTTTTATTTTTAAAATGAAAACTTCCTGCCTTCATCACATATAGAAAACCATTATTAATCACCATAAATAGAAAATAAGCATAAAAATAAGTACAAAGCAACAAAGTGGGAATGATTAAATTCTAGGTAGATACTGTTGCCTGTGGAAGTGTCTAAACCTAAAGCCCAGTATGTGTTTCGTGCTTTCTCTCTCTCCCCCCATCCCTCCCTCCTTCTCCTTTTCTCTCTTTTAAAAGGAGATTAGCATTGTTAAAGAATTGTTAAAGATTCCAGCACCCAATGGAGCCTGTCTCCTTGAAGTAATAAGATTAACTGAATTGTAAATGAAAAGGGAATCATTTCCTGTGTGAGTCAGTGTTCAATAGTGCTGTATCCATGTACTTCCTGCAATCATTCTGCACACACCAGTGGTACACAGCCCACACTTCAGGAAACACCGGGTTGGCTTATCCATGAGGTTCCCTCCAGCTCAAAGGCTCTGTAATTCTCATCTCCCTTTTTAACTCATCTTGCTTTCTGCCCTCAACCCACTGCACCTCACCCTGATCTCAACTCTGATTAAAGGTCTTTCTTGGTCTCTGAATCTATAGGATTTTATTCCTTCACACTCCTTCTCTTCCAAGTAAATGTCATCCACGGAACTTGGCTCCTTGCAGCCTGTAGTTGTAACTTTTGGCAGCAAAGGTGCAGCCTGGTCAACAAGATGCAGCAGTGATGACAGCCCAAGAAGGACAAGTACTGCTCAAGTGGTCCTTTGCAGGACGGACAGTCCGAGAAGTACTTCTCAGGCTCATTATCTGCTTGTTGGCTTTGGGAGCTGAACTGAGGAGGGGAGTTTGCACAGGGAAGGTCTGTTTATTGTTTGGTTTTCTCCTGGGAGGGTAGACAGACTTTATGATACTGAGAGCGAGGACAACTTAAGGAACTGTCTGTGACTGCCATGTACCAAGGAACGGATCCCGTAGCTAGGGCGGGGAGACCTGGAAGAGAGAAACCAGAACAAAGCAGAGAGACCAACCCGTCCTCCTTTTGTGCCCTGGCACTAGCCTCTACCCTTTGCCTTTACCTGTCCCCTGACTTCCAACCCACTGGGACCAGAGTCTGACCCCCTTTGCCGCCCCGAGCATCTCAGCCTCCACCCGCCTTGGGCTCTGCCTGCCCTCCCCATCTAACTCCCCCCAGTTTTTTGTGTGTGTAAATGAAGCATATTTTATGTGCGAATATTTTAGTAACCGTATGTTCTGCCAGTAAACCTGTGTTAATACTTGTCACAACTGCAGAGTTTATGATACCAATAATACTTCCTACAATGAAGAAAAAAAACATTTGTTTGTTTTCTAAGAATGTTTATTTGTAAACATATGTATTCACTATATTAATATGAATTTCTTACCTGGCAATAAAACTGATTATATGTGATGCTGTTGGGGTCACCATGTGTCCTTCCAGGGCCCTTCCTCCTAATTTGCGTTTTCACCAGGGAATACCAATATTAGCATAGAGAGCCGAGTCTTCAGTACTCAGAATGTATGGGAGACCATTTCAGGTCAAGGGAACTTCTAGTTAACAGCAATTTATGTAAATTTTCCAGGAGACTTTGTGTCGGAAGACTTCTTGATAAGTTTGTGTTGTTCCTTCACTTTCTTGCCTTAAAAAATATGTATATCATTGTTATGTCTCCTCATCATAACTGAATTTATCTTTAATGGTCAAGAATCTTGCTGAGCTTTGGATTTTCTTGTTTTTCCTGGTGACCAGGATTGTAAAAGACACAAATATTGAAAGGATGGAAGATTGGATTCTTTCCCTATTTGTTAAATTTTATTTCCTGTCTGGCCTCTGTTAGTATGTTTGAAATTTTCAGATAGAAACCTATCTGAAAATGGTTCTTCCAGAAAAAGGCTCTTAGAGAAGGATTTGAGAAGTGAAGGGAATACTAGAGTGGTGTAGGGGGATTCAGTAAGGAAAGAAAAGTAGCCAGTTAGGGTGCTTTATCATGCCAGCTAGCAGTATGGGCAGCTGGAGTTTCACTCCACAGGGAAACTCTGGTACAGGGTGTTAGGCACATACACATTCAGAATTATCCTGCTCAAGGATGATGGAGCTTGGGGGTTTACCCCCATCAGACATCTTTTGCAAATTGTTTCCAGGGCTGTTAATGTTCAGACACTCCTAGGCTGTCATGTGCAAAGGCAGAGGAATTCTGGTGTCCAGAAAGCCTCAGGCACAGAGATGCCCCTACTGGCAGTTGGAAGTCAACAATTTTGCACTACAGTTTTAAAAACACAAGAGAAGGGGGCAGGAACTCACTGTGGCTGCTCAAAGCCAGAGGTCCACAGTCCCTCGGGGATGAAGCTTCCACTCTCCGGATACTTAGAGATGTTATCAATGTCAAGCAAAAAGCATAGTGGATCGCAATCTACAGTCACAGCCAGGGTCTTCACTCTGGGATTTGGAGACCCTTCCTTGGCCACAGGGTCCGTTGAGCAGTGTCACCCAGAGCAGATCCCATGGGCTCTCTTTGGGGCATAGTTCTGGTTTTGAGAGAACTTTGGAAGGCAGAGGATGCTCTTCTAAGTACTCAGGAACCATTGAGGAATAAAGTCACTGACCAACACACATCACAGCCCCATGGATGCAGTTGTAGAACAGAGAATCTTGCCTCTGTGGGGAAGGACAGACTATTTCTTGAGTAAAGCCACCTGGGTGGTTATAACCCATGAACAATAAGAACGATCATGCA